GGAGCTGCCGCGCAAGGCTGTGCTCCTGTTAAAATAACATAGTGGTGCCTGTCTGGGAGGGGAGTAAAGCCCTTCTCAAAGAGTGGATAAGACAGGGGGCCTTGGGCAGGCGGCGGCTCGGTGGATCCCCCGGGGCAGGACAAAGGTCGGCGCTGCCAGCTGAGGTCCAAGGTTTGCCTGCGTGTGCAACGGCCGGCTGGGCTGTGTGCTGCCGACGGCAGGCAGGCCTGGAAACCTGGAGCTGGTGGGAGACGTGGCACTGGGACGCGGTTATTAGGTTTGTCAAGCATTTCTTAATACAGGAATTATGAAGGTCGTGACCTGGCAGAAAGATGATGCCTGTTCTAACCTTAAGTATCCACTGAAATATTTTTTGCAGATATCAGTCTGGAATTTTTTTGACAGGAATTTGGTAAGTCTGTTTCTTAGGAAATCATTCCTCGTCGCTAACGTGTCAGGTTAGTATTAACTAATAAAATAACGTTAGTTAACAAGCTGTTCGCTTCTTGTTCACGAAGGATTGAGTGCATCTCTCTAGACGACTGAAATCAGGGATTGGCTTAATTGGTTTTCCCCCATTTATCAAACATAGCAAACTTTTCTCCCGTATCAGAATGCATTTTGTTGCAGTAATTTGTGCATCTGGTGTCAGAATACAGATGAGATCTTCCAGCCTCTTTTTTTCTCCTAGAGACACAATGTCATCTGGAAACGACTGCCAGAAATTCACCAAACCAGCGTTTGGTGAAAAGGAAGCGACTGAGTTGGTTGACAGAGTATTTGGATTAAAGGTGTCTTGGATCAGGCCTCTCCCTAGCTACGACGATCAGAATTTCCGTGTGCGTATCTCGGGGAACAAAGGTGCGCCTGAAGGCGCTGATGAGTATGTCCTCAAAATCACCAATTCGGAAGACAGCCAGGAGCCTGACCTCATCGAAACGCAGACCCAGGCCATGATGTTTCTCAGCACTGAAGGCTTTCCTTCAGCTACGCCTTACCTTACAAAAGACGGTAACATTATGTGCCTGGTGTCAGGAGGTGAGCATTACAAGAATTTTTCTACCCTGTTATCTCCTCTAGCTTGGCAGTAGCTTGCTATGTGACATGTTTGTTACGGTACAACAAGGTGTTTGAATCAGTTATAGCAAACAGCTGTATTCTGCTGTGTGGCACTGATGTAAATGTAGATTAACTCTGTGGAAACCTGGAATATCTGAGTGAGCAAGACCAAGTTGCAACAGAGCAGGAGGTTCTTAACAGCCACTCGGGTGCTCGGCTTCCTCACGCAACGTTCCCTCTTCCCGGCAGTAGCAGTATGGCACTTACTCAAGTCTAAGTCCTGACCCACATCCCACGTCGCTTTCAGCTTTTAAAATCGAGCTTCCCTGATGAACTAGCCACTTTGGAGTGCAGAGGTACCATGCTGAGAACACCAGAGTTGTGCTTCCTCTCTGAGGAAAAAATATAAGGCATATAAGAAAACCCCAAGAGACACTGGGGAGCCTTGATCAGTGCAGGAGCACCAGTGCTAGTGAGATTTGAGCACTGCTGTAAGCGTCTCTAGGTATGAAGTATCTCTAGGCTTGAAGTATGGTACAAGACTGCTCATATTCTTCTTAGCAGTTTCTAGCAGAGACTGGGCTGCAGTTGATAGGGAAGGTAGAAATTGCAAAATGGTCAAAGTATAGCTCGGCTGTTTTTCCAGTTAATTAGTGTTGACTGGTTTTCTTGGTTTATTTATTGCCAGCTATTTTGGCTTGGGAATTTATTGGCTGAACTAGTTTTAGTTGTAACAAAATTGCCTAGAAAGAATTTCCAAAATTGGATTGAAAATGTGATTATCTAAAGTGGGAACTCTGTGTTTATTTTTATCCATTAAGGGATGTATAGTATACGACCTATATGTCTAGCCATAGTAGTCCAAACTTAAAATACTAGAAGCCAAGCAAGTTCAAAAGAGCAAGGATTAATTATGACAATACTTAGAAAAATAATTTCAGTATAATGAATCTGAGAAAACAATGATTCAACTGGACTTGGCTGCACACAAGGAAAAAAGTTCACTGATGAAACCATGCTACAAATTATTTGACCATGGAATGGTGTAACATACAGTTCCAGCCTATCTATGATGCCAGAATAAGTTGCTTTAATAGTGCCTGAAAGAAAAACTGGGTTGACGTTTTGCTTTCATTTTCACTGTAACTTCTGTACAAACGTTGGGATCCCTGAGGCCTCCCGCTCTGCTACAAAACCGCGTAAGTGGAGGTCTGTGGGCACTGGATGATACCTTTTGTATGCAAAGTTCACCTCAAGCATAAGAGCCAGAGCATCTGCCAGAGATTACACGAGTGTTAAGATTTGCATATCCTTGTACAACGCTAGTAAATCAAATCTTTGCATGAAATGCGTTTTGTCAGCTATGTGTGATTTCTTTCTTCTGCACTGGGAGAAACCTTTTTTGCCTCTTGCATTGATGAATGCTCAGTAACATATACTGAAGTGGCTGGCTGCCTCTCTCTTTGCTTCTTAGGTACTGGATCTGGGAACAAAAAGTACATAGTCAGACTGCTGACTTACCTGCAAGGAATACCTGTAGCAAAAATTGCTACAAATACGCAGATTTTGTATGAGATTGGAAAGCTAGCTGCCAGTTTGGATAAAGCTCTCTCAGAGGTGAGTTTCTGTTGCTCTGGCCTCACAAAGTCCATTCTCAATTAACTTCCCATGTACGTTTCTTCCTGTGCTTGCTGTCTGCTTTCCTGATCTGCAAAATTCAAGTTGGTGAATCTGGATGTCAGAGTTCAAGTCATTTTTCAGGTGACAAGCTCCATGCTGTAACTGTGAAAGCTTGTTGTTATTAAAGCACTTCCTCGAGTAACATGACCAATTGGTGCTTTTAACGTGGTCTTTGTGATCTTTCTGCAATGTGCTGTTGTACCAAGAAGAGGGAGAGAAGCATTTCTTTTTTTTTTTAAGCAAGCAAAACTCATCTGTTTGGTGTTTCAAGCCTGGCAAATAAGGAGAGTAAACTCTGGGCTGCCCAAATCAGAAGTATGTAAAGCTTCTTTACGCAGAAATAAGTGAAGCATTGTTGTATATGTCAAACAGGTACAACTGGCTGATGTATTATTTTGAATTAATTTTAACTTACTCTTTCTCCTGCTCATCAGAATTGTCACCATTTAACAGCAGTAGCACTTGATTCCCTTTCTATAATACCAGCTGTACTGATGAACAGAGACTTGTGACACTTCTCTCAGTTACACTGTTTCCAGTCAAGTAATATTAATGCAAAGTAACTTCTTCCTTTACTCTGTAATTATACAGGGTAATAAAGCTGATAAATCAGCCAGTAATTAAGTTGGATGCATAAAAGAACTCTTGCATTATTTATTGCCTTTCATTAACCTTTCCTTCTCATGTTCTGGCTACCAGCTTCAGACAATTATGAAATGTGAATTGCCAGCTTTACTAACCACATTCTTAAGTTATAAGGGCATTTTTCAATTGGGAAAGATAATTTACTGTTGCTTTTTAACCACTGTGGTCATGCTCTTATAATGTGATTGAAACAATTTATATAGACCAGCTAGTCTCAAAGTATGCCTGTGACTTGTCAAGGAGGAAGTATTAATTGAAAGAGCAAATTTTTATGAAAAAGCCACTGAAAAAGCCCTTAACATACGAAAGCTCAACAACCAAGGTTTCTCATTTTACATAAATAAAAATACTGTTGTTACTGTTAAAATTTTAAAGTATTATTGACACCAAAAGTAATACCTCAGGGAGCTACAAATGATTGATCAGAAAATACAGCATGTCTTTTTTTCCTCCAGTTAATTTTGTCCACTTGATAGCAAAGCCATGCTTGTTGTGCACAAAACCGTCATTGTCACCACTTTTACCTGCTGGTTTCTCCTTTTGCTTGACTATGTCTTATCTTGTAAATGGAAATGAGTTAATATTTATGGCTTTATGGTGACAAGGGCTTGTGAGAATGTTGAGATCTGACTCTTTATTACCTTTCACCCATCTGGTATCCCATTAATATCTTGCTGGAATATCTGATTTTGCCAGGGGTTGGCAGGGAAAACTGCAGTGGTTGCTAACCAGATGGCATTCTTCCTAACAATGTGGCGCTTTTTGTAGCATCTGAGATCCTGTAATATGGTTTTTGTTTTAGGCTTGATTCTGTTCTTTACTTTTTCATATACAGTTCTAGTTTTGACCATCTTTAAGCTGTCTTTAAGAAAAACGCTTAATTTTAAGCATGAGTTTCCTTTTAGGAGGAAACCAGCTTCTCCAGTGGGAAATGTTTGCATTTGCCCTACACCCTGGTAGAATCCAGCCTGAAAGCTGCCTTAATGAGCGTTAGAGGGTTTCAGGATAAGAGTGGTATGCAGCGAGAGAGATGCTTTTCTTCCCGGGATGTAACTTTCCAAAGAGAGGTGTAGGAAAGAGAGGTGTAGGACCTTGTTCGTCTAAAAATTTTAGGCTATCTGGATGTACAAAGGCAAAGCAAATAGAGCTGATTTGGCTGAACTTCCTTTCCAGAGAAGTAAAATGAGATGCATGTAGCTTACTGCCTGTAGATCTTTTGGCTGGGGCCTGTGTGTACTGCATGGACATTTGAGAAAAGTAGTAACTTTTCGTAAGAATAAAACTCTGTCCTGTATGTCTATAAAGTACTTCTGTCCTCAGCACTTGTGATGCGCCAGCTGATCGATCCTAAGGCTCAGCCTCAGAAGCTGCCACTTTTAAATGCCCAGAGCGTGTCTGTGTTGGGCACGCTGGCAGGTTCTGGGTCTCTGCTGCTTTGGCAGCTTTCGGTAGTGCCAGCTGCGCAATCCTGGCACTGCCAAGGGTGTGACTCTGGCATTGGGGAAGCCTCAAAGTCAGTACATACATGTTCATGGGAGAAATGTTGTCAGCTAATACTGATTTGAAAAGGTTTAAGTGATGAGCGACTAAAGATAATCTTTGTAACTGAAAAATGAGGGGAAAAAAAAACCCTTTTGAATGTAGATATTAAGATGTAGATATGTTTGAATGTAGATATTAAGGTACTCACCTTAATCAGCTTTCAGATTATTCTTTTACATGTTGATAGAAAATATGTCAAAGTCACGCAGCTTTTCATCTGGAACCTGTTACAGTTAATGACGGCTTTGAATCAAGCCCTTTAATTACAGCAGCAGGGTTTTTATTTATGGCCTATTTTCCCTTGTGTTTCTTTCGGAAGAAATTCCATCATCCATCAGTAAAAAGTCTGCATCGAGGGCAATTCATTTGGAACCTGGCAAACGTCCCTCTTCTGGACCAGTATATTTATGCCTTGGGCCAGAACAAACATCGCAAAGTTGTGGAGCAAGTTATTCAGCAATTTAAAAAGAAAGTAATACCGAAGCTAAGCAGTTTTCGAGCCTGTGAGTATTTTATTCTTACTAAAATTACATTGAGCTGAGACAGTGCAACTTTTTTACAGGAACTTGTTTCCATGGAAGAGGCACCATAGGCAAAAAATTGTTTTTAATCCATAGCACATGTGGTGGTGAATGAACACAGTGCAGAACATGCTAGGAAGAATGCACTGTCCAGTACTGGTAGAGCCATGTTCAGTTCTTGATCTTTCTACTGCGATTGCTTACAGTTAAGTTGATAATTTTCCTGCTGTTTTATCAGCTTAATAAAAATATATAGAGCACACTCCTTTTTTTCATAAAGGCCCAACTAACTATTAAATCATAAATTTTTTGAATATGGAACTTTCCACTGTCAAACCATGTTGACAGTGGTTTGACAGTGGAAAGCTCTGATGCTCTATGTTTGGAAAACACGTAGCATATGGTAGGTTCCACCAGAACAAAGTAAGATCTATTAACGTTCCTTTTATCAATTGCTATCTGGTCACCTGTTAGCGTTAATGGAATTGAGGTTCCTAGGAAGGAATAAGACTGTGAAAGACATGAGTAGTTACAGCAACATTGCCATGCTCGATGTTGCGGGAGACTAGTTTGGTTTTGTAGTCAGTATTAATCGGAGCCTCTAGGCATATTTTCAGTGCTATTTGACTGAGAAGTGGAAAAAAGTTAGATTCTGCTGTTTCATTATTGTTCAGTAGCATTTCGGTTTCTTCTGTGTTTAGGTATCAATCATGGAGATCTTAATGACCACAATATTTTAGTAGACTCCAGCTCTGCTTCCCTTGAGACTCCTCAGTACAGAGTGTCCGGCATTCTGGATTTTAGTGATATGAGTTATGGGTATTATGTATTTGAAGTCGCAATAACTATCATGTACATGATGATTGAGAGCCCGGATCCTCTGAGTGTTGGAGGGCACGTTCTGGCAGGGTTTGAAAGTGTCCTGCCACTGACAGAGGAGGAGAGAGCTGCTCTCTTTCTCTTGGTGAGCGGGAGGTTTTCGCAGTCGCTTGTCATCGCAGCCCACACGGCTCTCCAGTACCCAGAGAATAAGGAATACCTCATGATCACGGCGAAAACCGGATGGAAACACTTGATGGAAATGTGCGAGGTGGGCCAGGAAGCCGTGGAGAAGACGTGGTTCGAGACTGCAAAAGCGTACGTGCACCGTGGGCCTGCAGAGTAGAGCAACAGCGGCGCGGTAACTCCTGACCGTGCCGACGTAGTCACCACCGCGCGGCCTCTACGCGGCCTTGTATCCACCGCCGTGTTTCAATACGTAATTGCAAGACGGCGATGCCCTCGCAGCGCGTCCGAGCTCCAAGCGTCGTTGTGTCTTTCC